AGCCCGGCCGCCGGCGCCGCCTTCCACCGCTCCACCGAGGACCTGCGGATGCGGCAGAGCGCCAGCTACGGCCGCCTGCGTAAGCCGGGGGGGCTGCTGGGGAGGGGGGAATGCTCCTCAGAGAACCAGGGAAAACAAAAACAAAACTCAGGTTGCCGTCTGAGAGCCCCAGCACAGCCATAAGTGAGGGGTGGTTTGGGTAGTCACGGGGTGGCACAGCAGAAAAACTCCTGTCCTTGGGTGTCTTACTGCGCCCGGTTTGCAAGCCCAGCTGTAAGAAAGAGGGAGACTGAGAGGTGATCTTGGTCTCTACAACTCCCTAAAAGGAGGCTGGAGTGAGGCTGGTGTTGGTTTCATCTCCCAAAGTACTGGATAGGAGGTCTCTCTTTCTCTCTTTCTCTCTTTCTCTCTTTCTCTCTTTCTCTCTTTCTCTCTTTCTCTCTTTCTCTCTTTCTCTCTTTCTCTCTTTCTCTCTTTCTCTCTTTCTCTCTTTCTCTCTTTCTCTCTTTCTCTCTTTCTCTCTTTCTCTCTTTCTCTCTTTCTCTCTTTCTCTCTTTCTCTCTTTCTCTCTTTCTCTCTTTCTCTCTTTCTCTCTTTCTCTCTTTCTCTCTTTCTCTCTTTCTCTCTTTCTCTCTTTCTCTCTTTCTCTCTTTCTCTCTTTCTCTCTTTCTCTCTTTCTCTCTTTCTCTCTTTCTCTCTTTCTCTCTTTCTCTCTTTCTCTCTTTCTCTCTTTCTCTCTTTCTCTCTTTCTCTCTTTCTCTCTTTCTCTCTTTCTCTCTTTCTCTCTTTCTCTCTTTCTCTCTTTCTCTCTTTCTCTCTTTCTCTCTTTCTCTCTTTCTCTCTTTCTCTCTTTCTCTCTTTCTCTCTTTCTCTCTTTCTCTCTTTCTCTCTTTCTCTCTTTCTCTCTCTCCTTTTCTTCTCTCTCTTCTTCTCCCCTGGGGGCCCTTTAGCTCTTGCTCAGCACTGCTCAGATCCCCTCTGAGGCTTCTCCTCTCCAGCTGACCAGCCCCAGGGCTCTCAGCCTGGCCTGGCACAGAGATGCTCCAGCCCCTCAGCAGCTCCACAGCCTCCCCTGGACTCTCTCCAGCAGCTCCTGGTCTCTCTGCAACTGGGGAGCCCAGAAATGTGTTTTTTTTTCTTAGCACTGAACTCCTCCCACCACATCTTCTCCTTGCACGTGGGGCTGAAATGTGGCAGCACATCAGAGGGTGGTTTTCTCACCTTCCCTCTCCTGTCTCCACCAGGTCACGCGCAGAGTCGGAGCATGAACGACATCTCAGACACACCGAGCACCGACCAGGTGATCACCCCCAAACCCCTCGGGGTGCTGCCTGGGGAGCTCTGATGGGGCAGGGGCTCTCTGGCTGTTCAGGTCCATGTGAGCCTCGTGTGGCTTCGCTCGGTCGATAAACGCACAAATTGCTAATTAGGGAAATTAATGCACGTATTGATCCCTGCTAACTCATGGGGAAGCTGTCCCAGAAATAACACCTGTGCTTGCACAGAACTAGGGATGTGCGAGGACACTGACGTAGCTGGAGATCCTTAGGGTGGAGACAAAAATTCCTTCAAATCTTTAGGTAGGAAAGGAAAGGCTCTTGGAATAGCATGGGGGTCCTGGAAGAGCCTTGGATAGGCTGGGTGAGGGCAGCTGGCAGGGGAAAAATCCCAACCAAGCACTTGGACCTGCAAAGGTGGATCCAACTCTTGAGCCAAAAGTCTGTAAAGAGAGGTGGACCATGATGCACGTGGGTTTCTTTGTGCAAAGCTCAGCTGAGGGTCCTTGGGGGCTTTTTCCCCCCGGTTTGCTTTGCAGGGGAGAGCTCAGAGGGAGGTCAGGCTGCTCGGGGCGTTTGTGGGTAGATCTCTACTTGGTGATGTCATGGATCAGGAGGGGTTTGTGCTATTCTTTTTCTGGATGTCCTGTCCCCATCCTGGTATCAAAGCTTTGGAGTCCTCAGCACAGGAAGGACATGGACCTGCTGGAGTGGGACCAGAGGAGGCCACAGAGATGATTCGAGGGCTGGAACCCCTCTGCTGGGAGCCCAGCAGGAGAGATTTGGGCTGGGGCAGCCTGGAGAAGAAAAGGCTCCAGGGAGACCTTCTGAGGGCCTTTCAGGACTTCAAGGGGCCTGTCAGAAAGCTGGGAGGGGGGAATTGAGCAGGGCCTGTTACACCAGGACAAGGGGTGCTGGTTTTAGACGAAAAGAGGGAGATTTAGATGAGAGAGAAGGAAGAGATTTTTTTTTTTAAGCTGAGGGTGGTGAGCCCCTGGCCCAGGCTGCCCAGAGAGGTGGTCACTGCCCCATCCCTGGAACCATCCCAGGGGAGGTTGGATGGAGCTCTGAGCACCCTGATCTGATTGCAGATGTCCCTGTTCCCTGCAGGGGGTTGAACCAGATGACCTTGAAAGGTCCCTTCCCACCCAAACCAGTCTGACATTCCGTGGATCTATTTAGCTGGGAGCTGTGGATGCACCACATGGGCTTTGCTTTGGTTCTCTCTGTGCCCGATTTCATCATAAACCCAAGTGAAAATGAAAGGCAGGGTGGGTTTGTGGGGGCAGCACGGGCTGAGGGTTTGCTTTTCCCCAGGGATGTCCCTGCTGGGCTTTCCTGGGGTGATGCAGTTTGGGTAGAAGCAAAGGATGGAGATTTATGGGACAGGGGTGTCACAATATCAGGGAGGCGAAAGGTGTCCAGGACACCTTCCAAAATTAGAGCTGCAGTACAAACAAGCCAACTGCCCACTGAGGAACCCCAAATATCAGCCTGCAGCAGCGGGGTGCGGAGGGTTAATCCCAAAATATGCAAAGCATTTAGGTTTAATCGCCCTATTAGGCCCACTACAAAGGGACTTTTTAAGTGTTACATGAAGCTTAGTGGTCGTTTAACTCCTGCTCTGCATTGGAGGAGTTGCTTTATTATTATTACTTCTTTTTTTTTTTTCCATTTGGGTTTAAAAGATTAGAAAGGGGAGCGCTGGCTGCCCAGCTCACATGCCTCCCCTCATGCTGGTGTATAGATTATAATAACACCCTGCCTGGGTTGGTATTGAACCCTTTTAGATGAATAATGAAAGAGCTGCAGGGGAGAAAAGACCCCGGGGAATAAATCCATGAACGAGGTTTCCTACTTCCATTATTTGCTCCTGCTCCGAGGATGGGACTGGGGAGGAACAAGCTGCAGACCCACGCCCCACATATGCACTGGGAGGTGGTCCTGCCTTACAGGAGGTCTTGGGGGAGCCCAGGACTGCAAGAAACTTGCAAAAATGCATCTTGGCTTGCTCCAGGATCTGTAATTTTTGGGCCAGGTTTTCTTCTGGGGGTTTGCAGCTTGCGCAGACCCAGCACCACAAAGCACCCAGTTGCACATTGCCCTGGGGAGCCCTGAGCCTGGGGGTGTCAGGTTGTTACTGTTGGTTTGGAATAATGAAGAAGTTCAGCTTTATGAATCCTTGTTGGTTTATTCTTGGACCTGGCTTTTGACTCCCCACCTGTGGGAATCCCAGGGCCATCAGAAATCCAGAGGTTTGATCTTACAGCTGCAGTTTTTGCATTCAGGGTGGGGAAAAGACAAGGGAAAGCCAAATTTCAGCAACTGCTCCCTTCCCCAACCCTCCTCTTTCCAACAGCTGAAGAACAAGTTCATCAAGAAGATCCCCAAGGATGCGGAGGCATCCAACGTGCTGGTGGGAGAAGTGGAGTTCCTGGAGAAGCCCTTCGTGGCTTTTGTGCGGCTCCTCCAGGCGACGATGCTGGGAGGGGTGACAGAGGTGCCCGTCCCCACCAGGTGAGGGCAGTTCCTTTGGGTCCAAAGCACCAAGCGGTCTCGTGACACGGATGCTGGTGGTCCAAAGTCACCAACACAGCATCTTTCCCTTCCCAGGTTCCTCTTTATTCTCCTGGGTCCCGCGGGAAAAGCCAAATCCTACAATGAGATCGGCAGAGCCATCGCAACCCTCATGGTGGATGATGTGAGTAGATGCAACACGTGGCTCTCACCAGGAGCCTCCTTGCTCAGAGCCAAGAAACCCAAGCTGTTTTCATCCTACCACCCAAACGAACGAGCTTTAGAAGTCCATAATGACACAGGACATGCACATGTTCCCAGGATGACACCTCTCCTCTCTTCACCCCCAGCTCTTCAGCGACGTTGCCTACAAAGCCCGGGACAGAGAAGATCTGATCGCCGGCATCGATGAGTTCCTGGATGAAGTCATCGTCCTGCCACCCGGCGAGTGGGACCCCAACATCAGGATTGAGCCACCTAAAAAAGTGCCCTCGGCTGAGAAGAGGTGTGTGGGAGGTGTGGGGCTTGCCCCCAGCCCTGGGGCCATCCCCATCTCTCCAGCTCTGGAGATGCTGGAGGACGACAGCAGCTTTGCTTGCCTTCATCCCTAGAATCTCATCAAATTTCCCCAAAACGCTGCTTTTTCAGCAGCTTTTTTGCCCCCAGATCAGCTCAGAGCTGTTTCCACTCTGCAAAATCTGCATTCCCTCATGGGAGGAGCAGATCCAGCTCTTGATCTTTCCAAATTCACCCCAAAACCTCTAGTGGGGGCCGGGAGCTACCCCGTGGCCCGGCGTGGTGGCTGCGTGAGGAGCCAGGTCGGGGAGGAGCCGTGGCTGATGCTGGAGGGTCTCTCCCACAGGAAATCCGTGTTCTCCCTGAATGAAGTGGGGCAGATGAACGGCACGGCCGGGGGGGCTGGCGCCGGCGCTGGGGGAGGGGGCAGCGAAGATGGGGAGATGCCCGAAGTTCACGAGATTGGGGAAGAGCTCACGTGGACTGGCAGGTGAGCAGCACCCCGGCACCATCAGTGTCTCCTGTGGGCTCACCCCGTGGTCTCTTGGGGCCTGGAGGGTGAAATCCTTCTGGGCACGGGCTCCTGCCCAGCACCGTTTCCATTCCAGTGGTGGTGTCTCCCCAGGTTTTGTGGTGGCCTCTATTTGGATATCAAGAGGAAGCTGCCCTGGTTCCCGAGTGACTTCTATGAAGGCTTTCATATCCAGTCCATCTCTGCCATCTTGTTCATCTACCTGGGCTGCATCACCAACGCCATCACCTTTGGGGGCTTGCTGGGAGACGCTACGGACAACTACCAGGTTGAGCCCAGGGAGAGGGGGTCGCTTTGGCTTGGGGCAGCAAGGAGGGATGGGATGGGATGGGATGGGATGGGATGGGATGGGATGGGATGGGATGGGATGGGATGGGTTTTAGCCTCCTTGTGCCATGCCCAGTTTTAATGCTAGGCACGGAAATTCATTGCCAAGAGGGCCTGGCAGTCCTAACATACCTGCAGGATGGGAAAACCCATCTCAATGGCAATGCCAGGAGCAAGGGGATGTGGTCCCAACCATCCCCTATGGGTCCAAGCAGACGTCTGGGATTCCCATCTCCACCCGGGGCGTTAGTGGGGGCATAAGGTGGCACGGCATCACCATAACACTGGGTTTGATCCGTGCCCAGGGTGTCATGGAGAGCTTCCTCGGCACGGCAATGGCAGGCTCCATGTTCTGCCTCTTCGCCGGGCAGCCGCTCATCATCCTCAGCAGCACCGGCCCCATCCTCATCTTTGAGAAGCTGCTCTTCGACTTCAGCAAGTAGGTGCTGGGCGATGCCGGAGGGACCCGGGACCCATCCCTACCAGGATGGG